TTGGTCCCACTTTATATTAGGTGGCCTTAACTACTGTGTACTTACATTTAAATTAATAATTTGGTACAATGCACTTATTGTGTACATACATGTTTTTACATTGTACTTATATTTTAAAAATACCTGCATGTAATTACATCTGTAATTAATTTCTGTAATTACATTTATAATTACACAGTTGACCCATCCCTTACACCTTAACCCACCCTTAAACCTACCCTTACCAACAAACCTGTCCCTAACCTTACCCATATCCCTCCTCAATAGCAGCAAAAGTGTTTTGCAATACAATATGAACACAATAAGTACATTGTACTTAATATTTGATGTAAGTACATAGTAGTTAAGGCCACTTAATATAAAGTGGGGCCCAAAAATGTAATACCTAAAATGGCCCATTAACTGAATAAAGGTCATGAAGCAGGGAAATATGGACAATAAAGGAACTAAGAAACAAACACATTGAGTACAAACACACATATTGGTACCTCTATGAGCTCTGGCCGGAGGTTGATGGTGTACAGCCAGTCTGTGAGTTGTGGGTAAGAGTCCAGCGCCAGCGGTTTGTCTCTCTCTGGAACGCTCTGCTTCCACTCTAACTGTTTACTGATGTACTTCACCAGCTTCACCTGTAGATGGCGATCACACACACACAGGCTTAGACTGGTGTAACAACTGCTGTGAGAGACAACTCATTGAGCCATCTGTTTGCTTTTTAAATTATCCTCTATTTTTATTTATATCCTCTATTTATACCATTTATCCTCTAATGAGTTTTTATACCTTTGAAGGAAGAGAAATTAACCTTTCTTATTAACTTAACATGATGTTCTTTGTAGATTAAAATCCTTTGAGGCAAAAACAGGATGACGTGAGTCACCAAAAAGGCACAAAAAAAACCTTCAGAGAAAAAGAGCTGTTTCAAAGTGCCTAGTCAGGTGCCACAGTAGTTTGAGTATGTACAGCAATGAGGGACAAGCATGTTGATAATCCAGTGCAAGCATTTTTCTCTAAACCTTCATGTCCGCAAGCGAGCGTTGCACGCAGAATGCAAAGTGAGAAGTTGAACATAGCAAAGGAAATCCCCATGTGTGACTTCATTGTAAACGGTGGGCGATCAAAGTGTGTGCTGTTTGTGTGTGGTGTCAGTAAAACAACCGAATACAGTGCAAACAAACACTGTACACAAACACACTCTCTTTTTCAGTTCCAATACCAGCCAGTGCATCCACCCGTCATTATCTTACCATCACTAGAATGATATTGGATTAAAAATAACAAGCCAATAATGTTCAACGCTCACAGGACAAAGACATTTCAGACGTACCCTCCCTTTATTGCCGTAACGCTCCCACTGCAATAAACAGTGCTGTCTATAAATAGACACTGGTTATCATGGCAAGGGAGTCTGGACTCTTTCTCACGGGGCGTCTGTTCTGCCACTATGGCAACCCTGGCTGGAACACACTTGGAGGCTGCAGCCAGAGTCCCATGTGACATCATGGAGCAGCGAGACACTGCGGTTCACAGGTTAACAGAAACCACCGCACACCTGCCTCTATAGGTACAAGTTCAAACACCTCAGAGACAACCACAGCTGCAACTGTGCTCATAAAGAAGAGGCCGTTTTCACTGACTCAAAACTATAAAGATTACTCAGGAATTTACTTTAAGTAAAATTGGTTCCATAGGAGGTTTGGTGTTTAAGTAAATTCATTTCATTTACTACTGCATGAAGTGGAAACAATAGTGATAATCACCTTGTTTGAATATATATAGATATAGCTATATTTATAAATATAGCTGTAGATATAGATTTAGCTAAAGCTGTAGATATGTATATTAGTTATAGATATAGCTGTAAATATAGACTTATCTAAAGTTGTAGATATAGATGTTAGTTATAGATAGCTGTAGATATAGATTTAGCTAAAGCTGTATATATATATATAGCCGTTGTTCTCTGACGAGCTGCGCAAAACCACGTTCATATTCGCGCGATTTTTTGCGCTGCTCGTCAGTGAACAACGGCTCTGTGTAGTTAATGCTGCTCCATGTGAAAGCACGCACGTGATGGAGATTTACCGCTGATTACAGAACCGGCTTTCTGACAAGATGAGCGTTAAATATCGCATGCGATT